ATTGAATTCTTCAGAAAAAATTACCATGAAAATAATTTAAGGGAATATTTCAAATATTTTCTTGATATAGTTAAAAATATCGGTGTACTCTCCCCTCAATAAATTTCCATTTAAAGAAACTTTGTTTTATGTAAATATTAAAAGAATTACGTATCGTGACACCTGTCACATAGTATTCTGCAGATAAAAGCAGAAGTTGAAAGTCATATCAAATTTTTATTTTATTTCTTTTTTAAATTTTATAGAAATTATAAATACTTAAATACAATTTCTTTAAAAATTTAAAAAATTTAAAATTATAATAAAATTAAAATTTTTTTTATTCATATATTTATTCAACATAAACGGGTTTACAAAAAATACCCTTCATTAACCTTTAAAGTGCTATGCCGGTCTGACAGACCGCTATTAAAATTTTCTTTGCTTGTAACTTTTTTTCAAAGTATAATAAGAACTTGAACTTTTTAGTAGCTTCATATTTTATGAAAATCTGTTAGGAGACAACTTTTTCAAAAATTTTTATTCGTTAAATTTTGTAATATAAATAAATATTTGAAGTATAGCGGTCTGTGAGACCGGGGTTAGCTTTAAGTGAAAGTATATACCAGTATATTCCCATGAGTGGCGTCTGCGCAACTTGACGCGCAGCTAGTTCTACTGACAGTTCTCATAGACTGCATTTATAAAATAAATAAAATAAATAAATGCATAATACAGAAATGACTTTTTTTGTTAAAAAGTAAAAAATATTTATAATAGTTGCCTTTTAAAAATTATAAATGACTAAAAAACTGTCAAAAGGGAATAGCGGTCTGACAGACCGGGGTTAGCACTGAGCGTGATTTTTCAACACTTAGCACTTTAAAGGTTAATGTAAAAAAATGTGTAATAAGAAAATATCTTTTTATTATTATTATTATTATCAGGTATTAAAATTTTATTTCTTTTTTTAAAGTTTATAGTAATTATTATAAATAAATACAATTTCTTTATTAATATATAAATTTACTTTATAATAAAATTATAAAATTAAAAGTTAGCCAAGTTACAATTATAAAGTTATTTAATAAATAATTAATTAATAATAAACTAATTAATAATAATTAATAAAATAAACGATTTAATGCAATTATTTATAAATGAATGCAATTTATTTATAAATAAAGATAATTTTGAAATTAAACAATAATAATTATTACAATCTTCAACATTTTTAATTATCACTTTATTTAAAAATTCATAAACTTTTATACTTGGATAAAAAAAAAATTCACGGAATTATGAAGTGAAGAATTTAAAAGAGAAAATGTTTGAAGATTATAGTATGAAAATTAAAAAAAATTTGTTAAATAGATTTTTATAGTAAGTGGGACAAATTTAAAGTAAAAAGTATTGAGTACAGAAAATTCTCCGTTAATGAGATTTAAAAAATGGTTCGAAAAAAAAAAATGATGTACAAAGGAAAAGTTAATTAAAATGAAAAAGGCAGCAATTATCTTTTTATAATGCAATTCTATTTTCGATGATATATACATAAATTTCAATTTGTTTGAGCTACGTACAAATATAATAATTATAATTACGGTAATAATATAATATATAATAATAGATAATATTTTGGGATAACTCATGCATCGATATACAATAATCGGGCACAGTTATTAATTCTTGAATGGAGCGAAGATTGTTAACGATTATTGGAAAAAAAAAGAAAAAAAAAGATGAGCGATAGCTTAACAATTACTGTACAACGACAAGAATTCACATTTTTCAATTCATTATGTCGATAATTATTGAAGACATTAAGAAGAAGAGAAATTTTTTCAAGTTTGAAATTTTCCATAAATGAAATTAGATTTTGTTATCCAGAAGTACATTTTTTTTGTAAACATATCAAAATTCATTACGTATTGATAGGGTAATGTTTTTGAATTAATTTATTTATTAATTTATTAATAGAATTTATGTTGTAGTAATTTTTCTTCTTTACATATTTTTTTGATTTACATACTTATAGGGGTTCTTTTTTCTGAAATCGTACAGTGAGACGGGGCGAAATTGTTAAATGATAAAAAATAATACTGTTTTTTCGCCTACGCTTTTCTCAAGCTCATTCGAGCCACATCTCATTTGTCGACACATGATAAATATTCTCGAGAAAATAAGATTTATTTTTTATTTTTTTGTTTGATCATTAAAATGATAAATGGAAAATAAAAACAATAGGCTTTCACTGAAAAGTGCGTCCAATTCGATTCAATGCTATGTATCCCAATGCGAATTACAATAAATATTATAGGAATATTATATGTACATGTTGTTTATACTATAAGTGACAATCAGGTGTAAAAATATATTTTTTCAACACTTTCATGCACATATATGTATATAATTTCTAAAAAAAAAGAAACGTACACTCATTTTCAATGAAGTCATACATTCTAATAAATCATTAGGGGCCTTAAAAATGTTGCACCGGTTTCAATAGGCATTGAATACAATAATTATTCAAAAAAAAAACATCCAATTATGATTTTTATTATATTTGCGCAAAAAAGAAAAGAAAGTCTGTATTTAAAATATTTCTGAGTTCATTATAGATTTTTTATTCAATGCGAAGGAATGCTTGACTTTTCTTTTTCTGCTATATCGAATTTATAATTAATTAATTAATAATAGAATAATAATATTAATAATAAATAACGTACACACCCTAAGGACTCAGTACTCAAACTTTTGATGATCGAAAAAAAATCAATTCTTTATTTTTATGAAGTATGTTTTTTTTTTCGTTTCACAAAGCGAGTATTTATTTGTGAACATTTTGAACGTTTTGAACGTTTCTTGTTCACTATTTTTTGTGGGATATTTACGAAGTTAAAAATTGAATTATACACAATTACTATACTTGAATAAGATTATACATTTTATTTGCCTCAAAAATTGAGACAAAGTTTGTAGGTTCTAAAAAACCCGCGTTCTATTTGAAATATTCTTCTTTTTTTTTTTATTAACCCACGATGTTACCTTTGATCGACCAGATTAAATAGAGCATTTGATTCCTACACTCTTATCATACACTCACACACACACACACGCAATCATTTTTTCTCAGGCAAACTTTAATAAAGCTTCTTGGTTTCTTTTTTTTTTCTTTCGGTACATCCAAGTAAAATATTATTTATACACGCGTCACGCACGTCACTCGGTGAACGGGGGCACTGGCCAACTTAAATATCATACACTCATACTCGACACACGCAAAAATTGTCCACAGATGGGGTGAAAGGCATAAAAAAATGCACTTTACAGCGCACTTTAGTATTTATTAATTGCCCGACATAAGCGAACGCGATCCACTCCCAAAAGAAAAATTTCACTGGACGAATGGAAGCAGATAAATATAATATATATATATTTTCTTTTTTCGTCTTATTATTTTATTTATCCGCATCAGTCAAATCACAAGTGATCTTTTAAAAACATACGTCCTGCGTCTGAATTTTGGAAATTATAAAACTTGACTAATTTAAATAAACAATAAAAAAAAAATTATTTACAAAATTATATTTGATTAGAAAAATCTTAATATATATAATATATTTATATATATTTATAATTATATATAAATCTACCTGTGCAACACACTTTTGACGACTAGCTCAATAATTTAGAATCGAAATAAATTTCTTTGACTTTCTTTCTAAATTCATTCGACGACAAGATAAATTTAGAAAAGAATATTGCATAATTTTCATCCAACGTACAAAATTAATTACAATGAATTTTTTTCTTCTTAATTTTCTTATGCATTTTCGAAATTTTGGGTCTGTTATGTGTTTTTCTCTGAATTTGAAAAAGTGAAAATTTACTTAAGAATAGGTCGTTTTTTTATCAATAGAAAATTTTTACATAAAAAAATTTTGTTTTGGTTAAAATTTCACTGAGAATACGTCGTTTTTGAATTAAAAATTTAAGCAAAGAAAAATTTTCTACACAAAAAAATTTGTTTTGGTTAAAGAAATTCGTTTTTTATTTAATCGTTGATTGGAAACGTTGTGAATTTCACCGATATTTTTAGATATTTGTGAAGTTCACAACGTTTGTAAACGATCGAGAAGAAAAAATATTTTTATTGAATTTAGAGAATTTTTTTTTATATAAATTTTTGTATAAAGAATGTTTTTCATAGTTTTTTTTGTTTAATAATTTAAAGTAGAAGAATTTTTCTAAACGGGAAATTTTATTGTTTTGAAATAATTTTTTTTGTTCTTTTATTCGTGAATCATGAACATTGTGAACATCATCAACATTTTGAGACGTTGATGTAGTTCACAACATTTATCAATAGTCTCGAAGAAAAAATATTTTTATATTTAGATTTTTATTCGAATTTTTATAAATTTTTTGTATAAAAAAGTTTTGCATAGTACTTTGATAAATAATTTTAAAAAGGACAATTTTTTTTGCAACAAAAAAGTTTGTTTTCGTCAAAATTTTTTTTTTTTTAATCTTTGATTACAAACGTTCTGAAGACTTTTGTAAAGTTCACAACGTTTGTAAACGATTTATAAAAAGAAATATTTTTATAAATTTTTGTATGTAAAAAGTTTTGCATAGTTTTTTGGTCAATAATAATTTAAAAAAGAAAAATTTTTGGAAACAAAAAATTGTGTTCTTCTTGTTTGGGAATTTTTTTTCTCATTGATCATAAAAGTTGTGAACTTTGACGAATATTTTTAAGTGAAAATCACTTATTTTTAATTGTTGGAAAATATTTTTATACTTTAATTTTTATTGAATTTTTATAAATTTTTGTATAAAAAATGTTTTGCATAGTTTTTTGGTCAATAATAATTTAAAAAAGAAAAATTTTTTGGAACAAAAAATTGTATTCTTCTTGTTTGGAAAATTTTTTTTCTTTCTCTCGTTGATCATAAAAGTTGTGAACTTTGACGAATTTTTTTAAAGTGAAAATCACTTATTTTTAATTGTTGGAAAATATTTTTATATTTTAATTTTTATTGAATTTTTGTATTGATTTTTGTGGAAAAGACTTTTGACATATTCTAAGTGAATTTTCACTTTTTCAGATTTAGTGAGTTAATACACAGTAAAAAAGAATCTTATTTTAAGATGCTACTGAAATTAAATTGTTTAAAAATAAATTAAGTTATAAATAACTTGGAAAATTCCAAGAATCTTAATTCATTTACATTTCTGTAAATGAGCAAAAAAATAAAAAATTGAAATAAAAATCTTGAGCCTTAATTTAAGAAAGCTATGTTTTTAAGTCAAATTGCGCTTTTTACGGATTTTAAGACCAAATTGTCTTAGAAGCAGTATGTAGCAGTGTAAATTATAAAATATAAAATACGTTTAGAAATTCAATAAAGAACTTTTTGAAAATTGTATGTTTTTAAAGTTTTGAACGTATAAATAAGCAAAATTTTTGTTACTACTTTTAAGTATTATATTAATACAGTTTCTCTAAGGATATCAAATTGAGACTGTGAATAAATATTAAGAGAAAAATAAATTTTTAACTAAATAAATGTTGAATTTAATTTAACATTTCCATTTTTCATAGTAATTTTTGTAAACACTGGGAAAAAAATTCGTTTATTTGAACGTTCAAAATTTTAGAGAAACATTGTCGCAAGAAAGTAAGAGAAAATTTTGCTCTACAAAATCGATGCAAAGCTCTTTTTGTTCTAGTTAAGAATGAAAGAGAAGCAAACTATTTTAATAGAACATTTGCTGTGAATCTATTTGCAGTTCTTTCCGCCTTCAAAATAAGAGATCTTTTTACACTGGGTACATATTTTTACGTCAATATACGTATAATTTAATAAAAAAAAAGGATTGAGCGATTGTAATTATATATATGTATGATTGTAGGGCGAATTTAAATAACATCACATAAAATAATGTATATATAATAATAATATAATATTAAACAGAAATTTCTGTTAAGGAAGAGGTCGTGTTCACTATTTTCCTATAAAATATCTAACAGTCTTTCACGTTTCTAAATTTACACGTTGGAATCAATAATATTCTTCAGTACATCATATTTGAAGGAACTACGTATGCGGACAAGGTATACAGCATAGAAGCGTACCAAAGAACACCTTCCGGTTGTTCCCGTATCGAATTCAATTCCGTGGTTACCGATGCTCTGACTTCCGGCTCTCTCTTAACAGATTCAATGATGAATCTGGCGAACCTACTGACACCGGACGTTACATAACTCCAGAGTCTGTAAGGGAGGAATGAGTAATGGGCTATAGTTTGGCTTTCGATTAAGGCGTAACACGAAGCAACAACGTCATCAATGAGAACTGTTCCTTCATTAGTTAATGGGGCGAAAACACCTTCCTCTAGAACGAGTTTCGCTTCAATTATCCTGTCGTAACGAAGAGCATCGTGCACCATATTTTCTGCTTCATCGGAATCCCTCACCAATATTTTATCGCCAACTTCAACCCTCGCGGCAAAGATGATCGATTTTCCCTCGACTGGCAGAAGATGTGATGGTGTCAAGGTTAAAACTTTACCCGTGGCAGTTGTGAGTTGAATGAATTGCCTCTTCTCGGTTGGCTGTCGATCCATGAAGCTTATTACTTCACTGTAGACAATGTCGCCGTTCGAATTGAGCGACGCAATTTCTTCGCCGATCTTCAGTTCGTCTAATCTCTTTTTGGTACCCTCCTTTGTCCTCACTATGCTCTTGCCGGGGAAGCAACCTCCCGATTTGCCCGCTGATGATGATTCTGAAACAGGAGAAAGGGCATTATTTTTAAAATGTTCTTCACTTTAAAAGGTAAATTTTACTGGTCGGGGTACTTTTGACTAAAACAAGAAGAAGTTTACAAGAAGAATGCATAGAACCATTTTTAACTGAATTTCACATGTCCCTGAAGTTAGCGTCGAAAACTATTACAGACTTCGTACTCATCTACTAAAACCTACTATTTACTACTTTTTTTTACGTTTTTCTACTATTTGGGTACTTTTTTTAGATTTCAGCCACTAAATAAGGAACTATTTTTGTTTTTTCCTAATTTCCACTACTTTAATCCGTTGCCTGTTAACAACCCAAACTGGTTGTGAGAAAAGATGGCCCAGACTGTTAGCGACCCAACATTGGGTCGTGAACTTCTTTGTGCAAAATAAATGCAATTTCTTATGTAAATTATGAAATAAATTCTTTTATATCATTATTCATACACTATTGGTATTAATGATACTAGATTAAGCAATAAATAAATAATTATATTTATTATTTTTAAGTAAAAAAAAATTTTTAATTTTTAAGTAAAAAAAACTATAATCAAATTCTTCAAAACGATTCAATTATTTACCAAGTTGAAGTCCACAACGTTGATCAACGAAGAAAAATTGTTTACTTAGTAAATTAATTAAAAATACGCAGCAATATTGTCACAAAAATATTTAGAAAAAAAAAGATTGATGTTTATATTTTGATAATAATTATTTTACAATTAAATATTAAATTAAAAATAATACTTGAATGCATTAAATATAGTTTTTTCGTTGATAAACGTTGTGGACTTCAACTTCGTAATTATTTTCAAAAATTTACTAATAATAACATTTTTCAAGGAAATTCAATTTTTAAAAAAAATTTGAGCAAGAATTCAATTATTTTCATAAATAATAAAACTCATCGAAGAATTTTAATTATTTTTAATTCAATTTTAAATTGATTAATCGAAAAATTCAATTATTTTGACAAATAAAGTTTTCTAGAAGAATTCAATTATTTAAAGTAAAATTTTCGTAATATTTATTATATTTCGAGAAAAATAATTATTTAAAATAATGTTGATAACATTCTTATGAAGAATTCAATTATTTTTCAAAATGACAAAATTTTTCGCAGAAATTCAATTTTTTTTAAGACATTTTAATAAAATTTTTCGCAATAATTCAATTATTTTGATAAATAATAAAATTCTTCTCAGAAATTCAATTATTTTTGAAAATTTTAATAAAACTCTTGGTAGAATTTGAATTATTTTTAATACAATTTTCATCAAGTTTCACGAAAAATGAAATTATTTTTTAAAAATGAATTTCAATTCCTCGAAAAAATCGTTTATTTAAAAGAATATTTTTTTAAATTTCTTTGGAAAAATTCAATTATTTACAAAAGAATTAGAATTTTTCATAGGAGTTCAATTAGTTTCAAATATTTTCATAAAATTGGTCAAAAGAAATCATAATTATTTTAAATTCAATTTTAATTATATTTTTTTTTTAAATAATTCAATTATTCTTTTAGATTTTAATTAAATTCTTCCTAAGAATTCAATTATTTGCATGAATAATTCTTCGAATGAATTCAATGATATCGATAAATAACAAAATTATTTCTAAAAATTCAATTATTTTAAGGCATTTTAATAAAATTTTTTGCAAAATTCAATTATTTTCATAAATAACCATATTCATCACAAGAATTCAATTATTTTTAAAAGCAATAGATTTTTTCTTGGAAATTAAATTATTTAAAAAAATTCTAAAAAAATCGTTCGTAATAGAATTTTTTGTAAAATTTAATTATTTTTAAAAACTTTTCGCAATTCAATGATTTTCAATATTTTCATAAAATTTCCAAACAAAATTCAAATATTTAAAAAAAATTTTGTAAAAATCTTCGTAAGAATTCAATTCTTTTCATGAATAATAAAAATTTATCAGGAATTTAATTTTTTAAATTAGAATTTGCATAAAATTATTCGAAAGAAATCAATTACATATTTAAAAAATTTTTATAAAATTCTTCCCAAGAATTAAATTATTTTTATAAATATTTAAATTCTTTCATAAATAATAAAATTCATTGCAGAAATTCAATTTATTTGCAGGAAAAGAAAGAAGTAAATATTTTTGGTGAAAATTAGGAAAATGGCAGGAAAATAAAATACAGAATGTAATTTTTGGCAGTTTTGTGAAGTGTCTAAAATGAGTTTTTTTTTTTTGTTGTCAAGTTTAATTTTTCGATAGCTACTTTTTTAATACTTTCTTTAGTTTGAAAGCTACTTTTTTAAAATTAATTATCGAGCACGAAGTCTGCTATTATTTGAGGATTTTAGAGATAAAAATCGTGTTCGACACTAACTTCAGGGACCTAATTTTATCTACTCCAATTTTTTAAAATCATATGATTTTAAGCCCTTTAAGTTTATGACTTAACCTTTTAAAAAGTAAATAAAAATTTTATAGTTTTATAAAAATAGGCTACTTTTCAAAAATATTGATTTTAAATTATCAGTTCCACAGACTGTGTTTCTTCTGTGTAAATTGTTAGTAAAAATCACTTTGCAGTGTTATGAAAGAAAGATGGTGTTTAAAAACTTGGAGACTTTTTAGGATCTCTTGCTATATATGTATGTGAAAATTTTATATATTTCTTTGGCATTTGCGGTGCACAGTTGTGAATAATACTCGCCGCCAAAGTATATGTAGGTATATATATATATATATGTATAAGCTTTTGAAAGAAATTGAAGCCAATCGGTTTCTCGATCAGGTAATTGGATCCGGGAGTTGTCGTTTTGACCACGTGTAAGGTGTGACGCAAACACGAAAAGACAAGTATGAGGCCCGGTCACCGTGGGAAATCATATGTATAAATATAATCTCATTTAATGCGAGGAAACCGATATAGCTCGCATGGAACAGAGGTCCTAATCGTGGTGCTATGATCCAACATTCCAAAATTTTTATTCGAAGGTCAGAATTTCCTTTTGGTTATATTGCAAAAGTTCAATATTATCATCAAATATCAAAACTGCTGTGCAGTTTTTTGCTGTAGGCTCATAAGTATCTAAAGTTGTTCCCCTTTTGCTTTTTTCAAAACGGAATTTTATTTTGTATACGATTTTTGATATAATTTGTGACGAGTTCTAAAAGAAGGACATGGACCTTAAAATGACAAACATAACCTAAAACTTTTTGATTCTTAGGCTCCTTTCTTCAGCGTTTTCAGCTTCAAAAATAGACTATATGTATATAGTGATCTCTCGCATAAAGTTGAAAATAGAATTGCAAAATTACTCTCAAATATTAGGTGATGTGTGAATAATATAAAAAATTTCAAAAAGCGAATAAAGCTTGGAGAAAAAATTGGTCACACACGTGTTAAAATTGACGCGTGTATCGCACCCGTCAAGCATTTCGTGAATGATGCCCATTGGATCGTATCAATTTCGCGCCAATGTGGCGCTCACTTTTAATTCGAGCCGGCAGGTCAGCCTCGATTTTATTGGCATTTATTTTGAAATCGGAGACGCGGGTCCAAAATGAACATGGTCCGTTGATTGTGCATAAGTAGGTAAATAAATATACAAGAACAAGTCATAGAAACTGACGTGATCTGAAAACGATGAAAAAGAATTTTTAAAAAACATAATCTTCGCGGTTCACTGTCACTTCAAAAATCTTCAATTCAGGAAAAATGGTATCACCAAAATTTCGAGACTAAAGTTTTTATTGAATTGTTTTTCGCTTTTGGCATTCGTTGCTGGAAATATTTATTTCTGCTGTATTTGAATGTTCTTTTTAAATTCAGGGTTTGCTACGCAACCTGGAAAAGTCAGGGAATTTTGATTGAAATCCTGGAAAATTGTTGTTTTCTAAAGTTATTGTGTTTATTCTTGAAGTCTAATTTCACTTAAATATTTCAAAATTAATTCAATTTTAAAAGAATTGCATTTACAATTTTTATAAGTAGATGAACTTGAAAAGATTTTGATTTAAAATTTTGTAAAATTAAAATTTTAAATCAATTTAATTAGAAATATAAAAAAACTTAAATTTAAACAAAATTTTTAAAACTAAAATTCTTCTGAAATTAGATAAATTTTTTATTATATATTACTTCCTCATAGAGGAAGTATTTAATTGATTATTAAAAATAATGGATTTATAGAAGAATTATAGTTAAAAACACTAAAACAAATTGAATTTTGAAGCAATTGAGCCTCCCAATTCAAGAACTCGCCCGACGCTCGGATGAACACTCTAACGCCAGTCAAACGTTAAGAAAAGTCACAAAAATTAAAATTTGAAATTTTGATTTTTTAGAAGCACTACCTTGTAGGAAATTGAATAGCGCATCTTTTTTTCCTTTGAACTTTTTTCGTAGGATGAATATTGTCGGAAATAATGACGAAAAATGGTAAAATTTTGTTTTTCAAATTTCATTGCTTTTTAAAACATAAATCATCGTATCTTCGACAATTATTGTCGAATTGACTTCAAATTTGGTATGCAAGTCTATTTGGGTTCTGGGAAGACGATAAAATGATCAGAATGTAAAAATTTCCTAATTGTTCACTAATTTGTTAATGTAAATAAAGGCTTGTCAATTTTAGGTTAACTTACCTTCGTCGACAAAAAGTCTGCGGTGAACTTTCGAATTGAAAAAACTTCCAGTGAGACATTTGTTTATTAGTATATAAGGAAGTTTTTTGGAAAATATTAGATTGATTTAGTAAAAAATGTGGAAAATATTAAGGTTTAAAGATAGCGCGGAGAGCGCGACATCGAGTCGCGGCGTGCAAATATCACTAAACACCAACTTTATAGGACGTCAGTTGTTGAATTTGTTCTTATTACCTCGGTTATTACTCAGTACTTTAAAAAAAGCATTAAATAAATTATTGGGATATAATTATAACGCTATGTTTAACATTATAACAAACATAAAAATTCTATAAATAATAAAGAACTAGCAACAATT